AATGGTTTGGGAGGTTTTCTTTTATAATTTATCTATCCAAAGAAGTTAAGCACTGATGCTTTCATTTGTTTTCATTATGCTGCTTATGATAAGACTCCTAAAAGAACATCATAGCAATGCCCGGAGTAGTGAAATGTGACACAATAACTAAAAACACATCTGGAAAATGTATGCTTAATATGACAAGTACACTTAGACTAGTAAATGCTTAACCCTTTGGCTTCTCTTCTCTACAGCAATGGTCCTGCTGATGTGTTAGTTAGAAGAAATATGATTTTATCAGTGCCTCAAAGTGTGCTAATTACCTCATTTCTAAGAAATGTTATATTGAGCCTGGAACCAAACTTTAGCATGCACTCTGCTCAGCAGAAATCTTTGGCAAAGTAGAGTTCTTGCTACATCTAATTAGCATTTCCTCCTATTATAAATAATTGTTCCTCATTTTCTACTAATTCTTTCTATGCCATTGAAGCATTTCCAGTAACAATAAACAAACTTCATGATCCTTCCATATGCCTACTTTGTTACTGCTGCCACCCACCCAATTCTCTGCCATAGGCTCCACAGTATATTAAAGCTGGTACTAAATAGAATTTACATAATAAAACTGTTCAGAAGTTCAAGCTGGTGCATAAACGTAGGCATCGAGTTGTCTGAAAAACTGTTTCATGATAAGAATGTAGTTGCCCATATTGTACTTTATCTTCTTTGGAAAAGACTTTGATTTCTGTGTGGAATTTTGAGCTACTACTTATAATGGATAGGCCTTAATTAAAGAGAAAGACACCAAAATTGGTAACTGTATATAAGCTACATGTTTAGGGCCCCTGTGTAATCCAGGGAGATATGGTCAATACAATCAGAGCTGTTGAAAAAGCTACTCATAAAAACCGACATTAAAGGTAAGTTCTGGTACTATATGAGATGTCCTGTTTTGGTCACCTGCTGTACTCCAGATAGATCTCCTTTGAGTCCAGCGTCATATCTGTCATGAAGGTCTCTCAGATAACCACAGCGTCTGGAATAAACTACAACTCTGTTAGGAGATAGAAAGTTGTCAGCCTTGGGGAGTGGAATCAGTTTCCAGGTTTCCTGACTCAAATCAACTGTTGTTAATTTGTCCGGAGTTTAGATAATGCTCTAGGCACATAAATTTAGGATTTATAATCTTAAACCAAAACTACAACTGATTTGTGTTTTTTCAGACTGAGAGATTCATTTCTCTCTGTGACATGGCTGTATTAACATTGTTGTCATCATGATGCCACAGGGACATTAGATATTACTGAAGCATTCTTGAGGAAAGATCTTGCATTTTCTACTCTCCCCTTACCCTGTGTGACAAAAAAGGTCATTCGTTTTTTTTCTTTTTTTGTTGCTGAGATAGATTATAAAACTCTTCTTTCTGGGATGATCAGAGATAGAAGTAGATTTGGCAGAGCTCAACTCAAGTTGTTGCTCTACAAATAATTCTTGGTGACTCTAGATGACTACTTTTGGATGACTACTTTTAGCTTCTCGGTGTTTCATCAGACTCTGATGGGTTTCTTGAACTGGAAATACAGGGCAGAAATTTGGATATATGAGACTTTTTGCTTTTAACTATTCCTAGAGAATAGGAAAACGCTACACAGTTTTTTAATGTTATAAACGAATTGTCTGGAATTAAAATTATTGCATCAAAAGTACCTGGAATCCCAGGCAGGCATTTCTAATAGTAGTTAGGAAAAAATAAGTTACATGAAATGTTTCAACCTTAACTATATATAATCATAGGAATCAATATAAAATCATAATCGTGTAAATGTGCATGGTAATGGTTCAGCTTCTATGCTCTGTCATTCTTTGATTTATTTGCTAAGATTAATCAGTCAAAACAGTTCCACTCCTTTGTTGAGTAATGAAAGGAGTACCCCCACAGAATATCAGACTTTTAACATACAATTGGAATTTATGTTCTTAATTAAGTATATACACTGCAGATGACTGTTGAGTGCCATCAAGTCTGTTGTGCAAAGAAGGAAAAAGATGCTGAAGATCCACAAATTCATGTGTTTTCTTTGACACACGCATTTGTCAGTCTATCTCCCTGGTAAAATCTAACTCTTATGCTAATGTATCATACTGAAATTTCTGCTTTTTTGGAGGGAAATGTGAACACTGTCTTGGTCAACACTTTAGTCCATTTCCTAGAACTGAAAGAATAATTCAGAAGGTAAATTGAGTGGTTTTTTTTTTTTTTTCATTAATTGGTTTCTTCACAATTCTTTCTCAGTCTTGGTTGTATAATTTTCTTCATTGGTAACATTTGCCATCATTAATTTCAGGAAGATTTCCTCATCTTATTTTCAGGCTGTTCAGTAACCATGTTGTGGCTGCCCTAGCTGGCACATTCTGTTCTTTACTCTTTTTGACTCATTCTATGGCCTCACTAATACCTCTTTTTGTTCAGTAATGATATTTTGTCACTGACCTGAGTGTCATTTTCTATTCAACTTTTCTAAGTGTGTTGAAAAGTCTAGAAATAATTTGTATATTTGTATATCTGTATATTGCAGATGGTTCCACTCATTTTTTCATTTTTCTTCTTATAAGCTTGCAAACATCATTGATGATTTTTCCTTCATTCTTGCTTATTTTATCCACTCCTTTCCTTGGCATGGACTTTATTGAGGACTTTACTTAGTACGGCTTCTTTGGCCCTTTTTGGTAACTCTCACTGCATTTCAAGTTGTTGACTCATTTCCTCATTACACATGCACACATGTGTATGATTGTCTAAGGTCCCTTAGTTATCACATTTGAGATCTACTATCACTTCTTTTTTATCTGCCACTGCTTCTTATCTGAGAACTTATTACTACATCAGGAGTGGGTCAATGAACTCTTATGCCCTACAGGACACTCTCACGCCCTAAGACCTTTCTTAGTTGCAATACTCTGTGCTTGCTAGGATTGATTGCTCACTATCCTTTTTCTTTTTCTTTTTTTTTTTTCTCTCTATATTTACACAAGTAGTTGCACTGACTGCCTGTTAGACATGGAAACAAATAATTAGGCAATAACCACAAGTGATGGAAATAAAAAAAAATCCATGAGTTGGCCTATTCTTAGGGAAATTCTGCTCAATTTTACAGCTGTGAACATTATGGCTTATTTTACAGCATTTACTCATATATCCTAATTCTTCTGTGGCTAATGCTGTACAGCCCTGTGTCACAACAGCCTTTAAATCCTGTCACAGGATGACTCTGAGGAAATAATGATAGCAATCTAAAGTGCGACTAACTAGTAAAATTTGCCCTCTGAACTTTACGAGATGTTAAATTGGACTCTTCCTCTTGATAAATTACTGCTGCTCAGATGAAATCAGGGACCTGTGGCAATTCAAAAGAGCTGAGAATCGTTCCCATTGTATTCAAACAATGGGATGACAGTTTTTAACATTAACATAAATAAATATGCATTTCATTTCTGAAGAAAGAAATTTGGATGAGATGAATCATCCAACATCTACTCCTGCAAAGACAAATGATGTTTTAAAAATTCTTGTATAAACATGTAAAGGAATACCTGCAGCTACAGCATAGGCATTGGACCTGGACAGTTTGGATAGAGGTATGGTAATAAAATTAGTGATGATATTTTATACCTATTTAACACCTTTCATCACAAAGTACATTATCAAACACTAATTATTTGAGCCTTACAACATGTCTGTAAAAGACTATTAAACCATTGTACAGATTGCACACAGAGATTAAATGGCTTGTGTTAGGCCACACAGTGAGTGAGCAGCAGAGCCAAAAGGAGAGCATGAGTGTTGGCTCCCAGCCTCATGCTCCAACTACTGGACTTCACTTTCTTAATGCTTAATTCTCTTATTGCGTCTCTAATAGCACATCTGAATCTATTGAACGTTTGAGAATTTGATGAAGTTTGGTGCAAAAATCAGATTGGTCGTATTTCTCTCTCCTGTCTCATTTTGGACATCATAAAATATTTTTATTGCGTTTTTAGGGGCCTCATCTTGCACACTGCCCCAGGTCGCCTAGCCCTGGTGGGGAGCAGCCTGACATGGCATTGCTGCCGTTCCCCATCCCCAGTATAAGATTGTTGGCTTTGCTTTGTGAGCTTCCTGCATGGCCTCTGTGCTCTGCCCTTAGCTCTGATGTGTGAGTGGCTAGACCGATTTGCGCCTAAGTAATTCCAGCTATAGGCTAGTTAATGCAAAACAGATGTTTCCAAGGCATTGGCAAGAGCTTCCCATCCTGTTCTTCCTGCACTTCACATAAGCAGATGTTCAGGTAACTCACATATTTGCTAGTCCCAACCTTCCTCGGCTTTTATGCCACTACTTTGTGCGCATGTGCCACAGGAATGTGAACAAGGCAGGGAGGCAGAAGAAGGAAGGCAGCAAATGGGTGGCAGACCAGGGAGGAGGGAGGACAGTACTCCCAGCATCTGCTACTCTCACTGATGAATGGAGCAAACGCTGCTCTTCTGTGCTGCCTCTAGCGTGCCCTGTTACTGCCAGATACTGCTCGGTGGGAAATCACGCTCGTAACGAATTCCCACCGGCTCCTAGGAGCGCTCATTCACTCCGCTGCCTGCGGTATTGACAGCATTGCATGTGTCCCACTGCCTGCAACACAGCTCACGAACAACTTTTTTTTTTTTTAAATTCTCTGTATTTCATGCTGCTGTTTGCATGTTCGAAAAGCAACATAAAACAGTAGCAGAGCCAATGTGATGCTCATGAAGCGAGGAAAAGCAAGCAGAAAGAACTAAGGTAGGAAGTACTGAAAGAGAGTGCCTTGCATGTTGCCTTCTTGTACTATAGGGACTGGGGGCGTAGCTGAGTTTCCAAACCTCCTCCGCTCCCGGGATGCCACCCAATGGCCACGCGAGCGCTTTGCTGAACTCCTCCCCCCTCCTTTTGGCACGGCAGAGTCCTTCAGAGAAACTGCCTGTTCTGCATCACACAGACCGTAACGTATAAAAGCTCTTAGCAGCTCCTGTGACCAGAAGCTTCAAAGCCAGCAGAGCTCGGTTCCTTGGGGGTTGGTAGTAAGAGACACTCCTTCACCAGGGTTCATACACCCCATAGGAGGGTGCTATACACACGGGGAGAACAATAGACTGTGTGCTTTTTTGGTATTATCCAGAGGTAAGCCATTCAGCTCAATAAGCTTGCTTTGCATGCAGTTTTATTGATGTTCATCACATTTTGTTGAACTTAAGATTTTAATATTATTTCTAAGATGTCCTGCTTTCATGATTTATATGTTTTGTGATTTTTTTGCCTACTGGTTTATTTATATTGGCATTATCAACTCAATCCAGGCATATAAGAAAGGCATAACCTGGGATGTACTTTTCATTTTCAGGACATAACACTCTGAGGTTTCTAGCAGTCTCCCCATTTATGATATACAGTGTCATTATACTGTGTGATAGTACTGCCACTGTTTCAGGAATACTAGCTTTGATCATGGCATTCTTGGTATAGTGATATTCCATTTAGTGTGTTTATAGTAGGAGCATGTTATCATTTAATCATAGTATGTTCAGTAACACGTGTTCTGACTGGACTGTTTTTGAAAGTGGGCTGGTAGACAGAAATCGTTGGTCTGATCACAGTCTGCCAATTCACTCAGTCTTGCTATTTAGATGTACAGAATCACAACCCTGACATCTTTTTTTCTGCAGATCTGTTTTCCACTGTCCTGACTAAAAGCTGAACATCTCGGTGGCCTTTCTTCTTTGGCCTCAAAATGACAGTAATCCCTGCAATCAGTTGTGCTTTCTTATTTTCCATTCTCTGTGAAACAAGTGCAGTAGCATTACCCAACTCCACTGACCTACTCCTGTCAAACAATAATTTCACTGACATTGAGACGGCTTTGGCAGCTCATCTGGACTCTGCAAAAATTCCCAAACCCAGGCGGAAGCGATACATTTCACAGAATGACATGATTGCTATTCTTGATTACCATAATCAAGTTAGAGGCAAAGTCTTCCCACCTGCTTCCAACATGGAATACATGGTAAGTGAACTTTGTTTACTTGAGAGAAGGATAACATTTTGGAACTGCTGGAATACATAACAAAGTAAAAAATGTGGATTTTGGTTAAGTACACAATTTTTTACTATTGCTTCTTACTAAAATGTTCTTCTGCATTTTAAACTGCATTAACTTAAGCAATCAAAAGTTAAACTCTGAACCTTTTATTCACCTTGTTGAATTTTTATTTCCATGAGTAGTCCCAGGGAAGCTGCTGGGGCTCAAGTGAATGGAGTTGTGAGTTAACTGCTTGTTGGCAGGAGGAAAGCTATGTGATTACAGCATATGATCACACATGTTTGAGGTGCTAGTAGTCCCATTGCAAAACTGCTGTGGAGTATGCTGAAAATCTTTGCCTTGATGTAGCCAAAGAATATTGTTAACTACTTTCACACATCGCACTTTCAGAAAGAGTCTGGTAAAACCATATTTAGAAAGTAATGCTTGATGGACTGTTTGGCTCATATTCATATGTTTTGCTTACTGCATGTTGTGTGAGTGCAGCTAATAATTTTAATTTCTGGTCAGATATGATACTTATTTTAAATACTTATTTTCCCTGTGGAATTTCAGCCTGCCTAACATGCTCTGTTTGTGGTCAGTACCTTTTCCCATTTTTGGCAGATGCTCTTGATGAGAATTATCTGTTCCTGCAGGTATGATAAACGTTATTCACTAAGTGTGACTTCATACTTGGCACTAAGATAATAGCTAAGCCAGTGTGTTTGCTATTTTATGTTCCAACTTTGAATTCTGTGGAGTTCTAGTGTTAAAAATAAGTTGGCTAAGCAAAACTTTTTGTACCTTCTAAGTAAGGCGTTCACAGTCTTTTAAAAGCACAGACAAGTTGCATTAGCAGTATAATATCTGTTTAAAGTCTCAGAGCATCTCAGGTGACAACAGACAGTTAACAGTTTCAAGAAACAAGACACCACCAGTCTGACATAAAAAGGGGATAATTGTAATAACAAATCCTCCTCTTAAGCAGCTACTGACTAACAGTTTGGACATCTTTCTGTCACAGATGTTACCCAAATCTGGATTTGATCATACAATCTGTTAGCACATCCCAGCAGCACCTCAAAGAGTTGAGTGTGTTCACAGTTCCTTTGCAGGATGAAGGCCTGCAGCCATACCATAATCTGAGTTTGAAGTTTGTTTAAGTGAAAGGGTCAGAGACAGAAAAAATAGAGAGGTCAGAAGTCAAGCTCAGTCATCATTTTCAATGCTGAGCTCCGTGCTGACGTTTGCTTTGATTCTGCGTAAATAAACTTTGTTGTAATGTCTGAGGGAATGGCAGCCTACCATGTCCTTCCTTTGTTTTATGTTTTTTAGAAATGTACTCTTGTAGTTTGCCTAAGTGAAGGAATATGCCTTGTCATATTCCCAAGAGTTTTGTAAGTAAGTGTAGTGCTCTTAGCCAGTTCAGTAAAATACTTTGAAAATACGACTTTCCCTGGTTATTATATTTTTTTTAATATACCTGTATGCATAAACTTCATGGAATCACAGAATGGTTGAGGTTGGAAGGGACCTCTAGAGATCATCTAGTCCAATCCCCCTCCTCAAGCAGGGTCACCTAGGCCATGTTGCACTTCCCTGGCATCATCTACATTGATTGAGTATGCTGCAGCTTTGCTCTGCAGTTTGCTACCATGCAAGGCTTGCTACTGGAGCCACACTCTTTACAGCTTGTGTGCCATTCTTTCCACTGCCATTTTGGTTCATTTAGAAGAAACAGCACAGGAGGTCCTTGTGTTCCTGACAGCATTAATCCTGTCAGTGATCACAAGGACAGGATTTACACCATTCTTTCAAGTTTGATTCCCAACTCTTAAGTGCTTTATTCTTGCTGCAAAGTTTGGAGTACTACCTAAGGTGATCTCAGGTAATGATGCAGAGTTTACAACTTGAACATGGGTCTTCAAGTGGCAGTTAAGTCATTTTACACTGACTTGAACAGCTGTAGCCTTTTTGCAGAATTTATTTGATCTGTGTTTCCTCAGGAAACTTCATGGAGCCAAAAAAAAAGCCCAGTAGGCAGCATCTCACGACTTTCTCTGCTATCTGGTTTGTGGTGAAGGTAACCTCTCTTTATCTTTCCAGTTATGTGGCTATGGAAAGGTTTTTGGTAGGAAGATTTTGAAGATGGCATATTCTTGGTAAGCCACAGACTGGGGACCCCTGCTATCAGCAATGACCTTTTAAAGTTGGAAAGATGTTGAGTCAATCTTTGGTCTCTGTATGATTTCAGTTTCTGGCACTGCATCTGTTACAGGGACATAGGATCTCTGCTGTTATGTATAAAAGTTGTTGTGTTATTAAATATTAATTTCCCTAAATAAGATAACAAGCATATTGTCATCACCAGAAGACAATGAGCACCATGCTGAAAGAGTGATACAGAATATGTGTTCCTGGCTTGAAAATTACGGAAAAATGCACTTGTAGTGATTAAAGTGGCTTTTCCACTTCATCTTCCACTTCGTATTAGATAGATTAGAAAATTATAACTGTTGCAAGTTAGAGAAGCTGGAGATACCTGTTAATGCTGTAGATTTTGGAATCTGCCTGTAAATATATTGAAATAGAGGACTAGGCAATTTGGAAACACAAGAAAAAGACATCTCATCTTTCTCTGTATACAGGGAGGGTAAAGTATGTTTTGTTCTGTTTTCCTAATTCCATTACATTTTTCTCATAAATGACTGTATCTCATTCTCACCTCTGTATATTTCAATTTTCATTTTCTCTTTAATTGGTAAGAGTTTAGAACTTAATAATATAGTTTGGTTCTTATGAATCCAGTTCTCCACAACTGGCCTGTTTTTTTCTTTTGCTCTTGACACATCCAGCTACTTCCATCTTTTCAATTCCTTGGGCATATTCTGTCTGCCCGATGGAGACATCTATTGCCTTGAAAGTTATGCGCTCAAGGACTTCTGATGACAGGTCTCAAAGAACAGTTTTGAGTGACAGTGGGCGTTCAAATGAGCCTGGCAGTGAACAGAGTTGAGACAATGTCTTATCTAAGTTCCAAAAAGGTGAATGCAGTGCTGTTCCAACTTCCTGTTATATACAGTCCCCAGTGTTAAGCTGGAGAGTCAAATACAATTAGGCGAGACATTGTTTTGTTGTAAAGCTCTAGTGAAAGGAACAGGCCCATCCTTATGCATAATGGGTCAGTAAGACTTTGACTAATCTTTCTTTAAAGATGTTAGCAGCCTATGAGACACAATTCAAAGAAGTTCTTCCTTTTGATGCTGGTGCCAGTATTGCTGATGCCTTCAAGTTTGAGTGTAAGGGCAAATCTAAAGTCACCAAGTATGCCAAGTAATAGAAAAAGGGAAACAAAAACCTTCAGGTCTATATTGTATCAATAATAACTTCTGTCTTTTTTTTAAAGCCTTTTTGTTATGTATCCTTCATGCCTTCTCAGACAAAGATTATTATTCTCAAGTCTTTGCTCTTGACTCAAAATCTGATGTCATACACACATTAAGAAGGAGGACACCATGATTTTGAAATAGAAGAGGTTGGGTTAAAATAATCCACTTTAATTTTTCGCACTTTTCCTTCAGAAAGCAAAAAGGTTCCTTAAAATTCATGAATCAGAAAAAGTGAAGTGTAAAATATCCTGCAGCTGTCTAGTGTGAAAGGCATGTAAATCCTCAAATCCAGGGGAAGTCTATAAACAAACAAATTTCTTTCTCTGAATGTTAGTTTTGTACTGTAGTAGCCTGTATTGCCTTTCTGGAACATCTCAGTACTTGATAGGTCAGTAAAGACTTGCAGGATCCTGCTGGCTGAAATTTGAGTCTCTAAAAACAGATCATTTGGTACCCATTGGTACTCTCTGTAGGATCCCAAAATATTCTCTAAAGAAATACCTGCTATGCTGAGAAATATCTGTTATTTTTACCTTCTCTGCAATTATTCTGACTTGAGGCAGTTTCTTAAAAGTCCATGTGCTCTTTCCACACAACTCATGTTGCTATATGCATTCAGAACCTAGTTTGAATATGCATACGTACATGCTGATCACAATTTTGCAAGTGCCAAGCAGAAGCAATAAATCTGATATAGCAGAACCTAAATGAGCATTGGACACGGTGCTGCATAGGATTCCCATAGTCAAACTAGGGAAATAGATGGCAGCATTATGAGGATATTTTCATAACTTGCTGAAGTTTTGAAATACTGAAAGAGGAGCTATGAGTATTTCACTGATTACTTGTAGAGCTTATCATTTGGAGTTCTGCAAGGATCAGTCCCGGGTAAAGTATGTAGTCAGTAATAGACTGGTAGTTTGGATACCCAGGAGTTTTTTCATGGCAACATAGCTAAAGATAGTTTATCATGAGCTGGTTGCAAAAGAGGTGGAAGGGAGTGGGCAAGTTGAGCTTATTCATCTTCATTTGTAGATCCTACATGAAAGACTGTAATATAATGAACAAAAAGTAATTCCTATAGACACATGAGCCATGAAAAGTCATAGGGGAAATCTGTTCACTCTTTAATGCCTCAAGAGCCGCTTTGAACCACTTTGCTGAGGTCAATTCAAAGATGACAAGTTTGGAGATGTTCATTCCTGACCACAAAAACCTGCAGACAATAATCAATAATCAAATCAAAGAAGCAAGAAAATAACCTACTTAGTGGTCACACTATTATTAGCTGTATTGTAATAGCAGTCTTAATGTGAAACTCTTGATAAAAGTTTCTGGCTATTCATGTGATCTTAAAAATGTTCTGTGAATATGCGGTAGATGATAGGGAAGACAAATGGTGAAGATGTATTTTCTAGTATTTTTTCTACCAAGTGTTTTAGCAGTTTTTACAGAGTCTTATTTAATACCTGAAAGCCTTTCATATGTCCATGGAAAAAGTGCATCAGTTTGTTTTGTTCTCCAATTGAAAGCATTTCTGATAAATATCAAGCTTCTCAGGTTGTTTACTCAGTTTTGCTGTTGTCTTTTTAC